CTGGTACAAAAAAGGTTGGGGACCACTGGACTACACAACTCGATCAGGGCAAAACAATAGACGCAATCTACATAGACTTCTGTAAAGCCTTGGATTCAGTGGTACACGACAAACTACCCCTAAAACTAAAATCTTACGGTATCTCTGGACATCTGCATAACTGGATAGAAGCATTCCTGTCAAACAGACAACAAATGGTCAAAATTGGGAGCGTCCTATCAAATTCTGTACCTGTCAACAGTGGTATCCCCCAAGGCAGTGTTCTAGGACCAACTCTCTTCATACTCTACATAAATGACCTCTGTGATCATATCAAGAGCAACTGCATTATCTTCGCTGATGATGTAAAGTTATTCAACACCACAGACAATACTGCTACCCTTCAAAAAAACCTTGACTATGTGTCAGAATGGTCAATCAAATGGCAACTTCAAATCTCAACAAATAAATGCTCTGTCTTACATATTGGCAAAAAAAATCAGAAAATAAAATACAGGCTGAATAGTCAAGACCTTGTTGATGATCCAAACTCTGTCAAGGATCTTGGAGTACTCATCTCAAATGACCTAAGTGATAGAGCCCACTGTAACTACATAGCCAAAAAGGTGCTAAGAGTTGTTAACCTAATCTTACGTGGCTTTTTCTCTGGTAATATTACACTAATAACTGGAGCCTACAGAACATTTGCTAGACCAATACTCAAATACAGCTCATCAGTCTGGAACCCACATTACGTATCTGATATTAACACGGTTGAGAAAGTCCAGAAATATTTCACAAGAAGAGTTCTCCACTCCTCTACTCGTTGCAGAATACCTTATGCCACCAGACTCGAAATTCTAGACCTAGAAAACCTAGAACTACGCCATCTTCGGTCCGATCTAAGTATACTATATAAAATCATACATTGCAATGTCCTACATGTCAATGAATACTTCAGCTTCAACCATAACAACACAAGAGCAAACAATAGATACAAACTCAAGGTTAATCGCACCAAACTTGATTGCAGGAAACACGACTTCAGCAACAGAGTGATCAATGTCTGGAATACTCTACCTGACTCTGTGGTTTCTTCCCCAAACCCCAAAAACTTTAATCTTAGACTGTCTACTATTGACCTCACCCCTTTCCTAAGGGGTCTGTAGGGGGCGTGCATAAGCTCACCAACGTGCCTTCCGTCCCTGTCCTATTGTTTCTTTTATATATATTTTTATTTTTCTTATATGTATCCATGTATTCATAACTATGTTTTTACTTAGACCTATTATCTTGTAAGCAATTGACAAATAAAAGAAAAAAGAAAAAGAAAATATTCGTATCTACAGAATGATGCAAATAGGATTAGTGGTTGCAAAATACCATGTATAGGTGGTATGTTTATAGAGGAAAGAATAAGGGTAGTCTTTATTTTTACAATTAATGAGCCATACTAAAGTTAACTAAATTAAAATAATCTAATTAATCAAAAGCAAGCACAATGTATGTTCTTGTTTCTTCAAAATCTTTTAAAGATAAAATATGTATCTATGCTGCAAAAATTTGGACAACCATTAAATGGCAGTAAAGATACAGAAAATGTTCTTTCCTGCCAGCTAATGGCCGTTTTGATATTTGCAACCCAAATACCGGGTTGCAAATATATATGGTAGTCCAACTGAAGTGGTGTGTAATTTGTAATGAACATATCCAAGGATGCATACTAGCTATTGATGGCGCAGTGGTTAGAATGCAATATTACAGGCTGAATCTACCTACAGCCAGGAGTTCAATCCTGACTGGCTTAAGGTTGACTCAGCCTTCCATCCTTCCAAGGTAGGTAAAGTGAGGACCCAGATTGTTGGGGGCAACATGCTGACTCTGTAAACCGCTTAGAGAGGTCTGTAAAGCACTATGAAGCGGTAAGATAAAGGTAAAGGTTCCCCTCGCACATATGTGCTAGTTGTTTCTGGCTCTGGGGGGGGGTGCTCATCTCCATTAAAAAAGCTGAAGAGCCCACTGTCCAAAGACATCTCTGTGGTCATATGGCCGGCATGACTAAACGCTGAAGGCGCAGGGAACACTGTCACCTTCCCACCAAAGTGGTCCCTATTTTTCTTACATTTTTACATGCTTTCGAACTGCTAGGTTGGCAGAAGCTGGGACAAGTAACAGGAGCTCACTCCGTTACGCGGCGCTAGGGATTCGAACCGCCGAACTGCTGACCTTTCTGATCGACAAGCTCAGCGTCTTAGCCACTGAGCCACCGTGGTATATCTAAATACTAAGTACTATTCTTTTTAGTAGCCAATGCCAGCTATTTTTTTAATAGAATAGAATAGAATTCTTTATTGGCCAAGTGTGATTGGACACACAAGGAATTTGTCTTAGTGCAAATGCTCTCAGTGTACTTGATTCATAGATTTCACGCAGCTGCTAATGAATTCTGGGTTAACTAATCCGAGGAACAAACCATGGATCTTCTTTTAAGGAGCTCAAAAATACAAGTTCATAAAATAAACTCTAAGTAAGCCAGCAATGGCCATGTGTAAGTCATCTGCACAATTGAACTTGTTCTTCATAAAACATCTCTAATCTGCGATAAGCATATTGTTGAACCAACATCAACATTTCATATTTCCGTAATGAGACCTGATGCCAGAAGTTCCAACAACTGAAGCTTCTAAGCAGTTTATGACCTGTGTGCACTTATCAAAGTAATGAGTATTAATGGCATTAAAAAAAACAGTTGCGTGTCATACCACAACAGCGGTATAGATTATTCTCTGCACCATTTCCAGATCATCTGTGTAGCTCCTCAAGAGGGTTTGAGCGTCTAGACGTTCTTGAGAGTAAATGTCATTGAATCGTTCCACAAGGCGAGCGTGGCGCAAAGCATAAGTAAGTCTTCCCCGGCTGGGTGAAAAATTTCGTGCTGAAGGTGGACTCGGCGATCTACTTCGAGCAAGTCTCGGAGGAGAAGATCGATTTCGTGCAAGCCTGAAACAAGATTTGCCGAATGGCAGGAAGGCAAAATCTTTACTGCTACAAATACTTTGCTCCAAATACAGGAAGATCTTGACTTACAATGGTTCATTTAGTGACTGTTCAACGTTTAAAAGGCACTGAAAAATGTGACCTATGACCGTTTTTCACAGTTACAACCTTTCTATCATCCCCATGACCACGTCATCAAAATTCAGATGCTTGGCAAGTGGCTCATATTTATGACCATTGCTGTGTGCCGGGGTCATATGATCCCCTTTTGCGACCTTAAAGTTAATGGGGGAGATTCACTTAACAACCGTGTTACTAACTTAACAACTGCAGTGATTCACCTAACAACTGTGGCAAGAAATGTCATGAAATGGGGCAAAATTCACTTAACCAATTTCTCACTTAGCAATGGAAATTTTGGGCTCAAAATTTGGGCTATATTTAAACTAAGCACATATGAAATTAGAAGATGGAATGCAAGTATTTCAAGTAAATCAAGAGAAGAATTGTTTGAGGCAGAAAAACTGAACTTCTCTCTTCTCTTTTTCTCTTGTTATACCATTTCACCTTCCTCTCCTTCATATGAGATATTTGGGCAAACAAAAGTTTGGGAATACATTTTGCTTGGCATAGGAAACTATCTAACTCTCCCTACCTAAATTGAATAAGCTTTGCAGGCAAAACTCACTTAACAAATTTCTCACTAAACAATATAATTTTGGTCTCACTTCTGGTCATATGTTGAGGACTACCTGTAGTTAAAAAAATAATTTTTTGTATTTGTTTCTATTGCTCTTAGAAAAACACCAGCCATTTTTATTATTATTGCTTATAAAGGTCTACATTTTTGTCACAGTGAGATACTTTACTGTTTTTGATTCTAGTACACTTTGATACAACAGATTAGTTTCCTGAATATTCCCAAATTCAAGAAATATTTAATGATTTTTTAAAAATGTTTTGGTAGATACAATTCTTTCTCTTTGGGGGAAGATGTTTCATCTTGAACTGAAAGGCAGGAGTAAATAAATTGTAAATCTATGGATATGGCCTCTTTCCCCAGATCAAGGAAATATAATAATCCCCAGAGTCGCTCTCTATGGTGAGACGGGCCGCGTATAAATTTAATAAATACATGAATTATTGTAATGAGCTTTTCAGAGCATGGGAAACTAGACAGAGATAGGAAAAATATTCAAGCACAGAACATTCTGACAGACTTGAACACTGGGTCCCAACTAACAAAATGAAATTCAATGTAGAGAAAAGTAAAGTCTTACACTTAGGCAAGACTAACCAAAACTACATATATAGATTGGGAAAAACCAGTAACTGTGAAAGGATCTTGGAGTCTTCGTGGACAACCAATTAAATATGAGCCAACAGTGTGCAGCCGCCGCCAAAAAAAGCCAATGCAATCCTAAATTGCACTAACAATTTAATCAAGATCACGTGAGGTACTAATATCACTCTATAAAGCCTTAGTAAGACCACACCTAGAATACTGCTCTAGTTTTGGTCACCAGACTATAAGAGAGATGTTGAGACTCTAGAAAGAGTGCAGAGAAGAGCAACCAAGATGATTAGGGGACTAGAGACTAAAACATACAATGAACGGTTACAGGAACTGGGCATGGCTAGTCTAGGGAAGAGAAGTACCAGGGGAGTCAGGAGAGCAGTCTTCCAATATTTGAGGGGCTGCCACAGAGAGGAGGAAGGGGTCAACCTATTTTCCAAAGCACCTGAAGGCCAGACAAGGCATAATGGATGGAAACTGATCAAGGAGAGATTCAAGCTGGAAATACAGAGAAGTGTTCTGATAGTGAGAACAATCAACGAAAGGAACAGAAGTTGCCTTCAGAAGTTGTGGGAGCTTCATCCCTGGATGCTTTCAAGAAGACACTGGACTTGAAATGGTTTAGGGTCTCCTGCTTGGATGGGGAGTTGGACTAGATGACCTACAAGGTCCTTTCCAACTCTGTTATCTGAACGTTCTTTCTTCATCCACAAAACATCTAATCATTTCCCCAGCCCATCACAAATAGAATAGAAGGAGACCAAGAATCTCTAATGAAGATCCCCATGAGAAAAGAAGTTTGCTTTTTGGCTCTCATAAGCTGCAAAAAAACAAAAACACCTTCACACGTCCTTACCTGCTTTGAAGAAGGGACTTCTCAGCCCGAAGGATAGCAATTTCATCCTTCAATGTCTGTAACTGATTCTCGTACTCATCCAGATTCTCCAAAGTGCAATCTGATTTTGCCCGAGAAGCCTTTAAGCTTAACCACAAAAAAACAAATCAGATAAAATGCACGATTGAAGTGATGCTCTGCTTTCTGTGCCACATTAACATCAGCCTGGGAAGTTAAAAAATGGTAAGCGGGAGGAATTCAAGAGTTGCTCCTACACAGTTGACAATTATCCTCACAATTTAAAGTAAACCTTTGCATTTTTTAACTCTCTTCGCCACTCAAAAGCCATGTGGAACTTTCTGCATTCTATTATTAGCTATAAAATTATAAACACTGAGGCATATCATATTGTTTTGAGGTATTAAAAAAAAAACCCACCCAGGGTTCCAATCTACTTCAATCCCAAATGTGGTTAGGAGAAAGCAGCTAGTCTTGTCAACTCAAAAGTTACTCCCCCTGCCAATACTAAAGCCTTCCTACCCCTCTTTGCCCAATCCTACTCATTTGCACAAATTTGTGTTTCAGAGGTGGTATTCAGCAGGTTCTGAGCAGTTCTGGAGAACCGGTAGCGGAAATTCTGAGTAGTTCGGAGAACCGGTAAATCCCACCTCTGACTGGCTCCGCCCCCATCTATTCTCTGCTTCCCGAGGCCCAGCTGAACGGCTGGGTCTTCTTTGGTTGACCTGCACAGGAGAACAGAGCTGGAAAGCAGGTTAGTGGGGTGGGGAGGGAAGAGGGAATTTGCAGTAACTTTCCCCCAGGAGTGGGGAGGGAATGGAGATTTGACAGTATCCGTCCCCTGCCATGCCCACCAAGCCACACCCACCAAGTCAAGCCATGGCATGCCACGCCCACCAAGCCACACCCACAGAACCAGGAGTAAAAAAAAATTGAATCCCACCACTGGTGTGTTTCCTGTTCTCTTCCTTGGTTTTCCAGCCCATTCCCCTTACCTTCCAATCTAACAAAGGTTCCCACTCCCTTTACACAGGGGGGCTCTATCCCTCTCTTATCGATCGTATGAAGCTCCGTATAAGTAGTTTCCCCACTGATTTCAAATGAAATGAAATAGGACAAGTTGCTACGGCCAACTCGCTGCAGCCAACTTGCCATGGCCAACTCCCCAAGACCATCTTGCCATGGAACAACTTGCTGCAGGACAATTCAACAATTCTTGGTGCAGGACAATTTAACAATTCTATTTAATTATTTAAAATAAAATTTAAAAACATGTTTGTAATTCACATTTCGTTCCATCCTTCTTTTTGCATCCTTTCCCCCCACTATTTCTTTGATATTAGTGTTAACTCTTGTCCTATGGCGAGTTGTCCTGCAGTGAATTGGCCATGGCATGTTGGTCGTGGCGAGTTAACCCTGGCAAATTGTCATAGATCCTGCTTTACATGACATAAGATGGGAATATATGTATAGATTGTATCCAGCGAGTGGCTAAAAACCTTTCAAGTGCATCACAATGGTGGCCTTTGAGTTTACTATTTTACAATTAGTTTTTATTAAGCTATGCTTGTGCTCACTGACTATCATTCTGCAGAATCAACACACAAAAAGCACATTTAGGTTGCAATATTAAATAAGCCTAACTAGCGAATAAACCTGAATGAGCACACGGGAATAAGCCCAAGATTCTGAATAAGTTTATTTACATGGTTAAAAATCAACATGAGCATTTAACTAATGTCATACCGTTATTTAATTGCACTATCCTGCAAACAAGTTTGACTTTCCCCACATGTCTTTCGCTGATTTTTCTCTACCCACTTGAGTTCAAAGTAACCGCTGACAATAAAAGTTAAAAAAATAATAATATAATACTGAGTAAATATAATACTGCACACTTCACGGAAGCACAGGGGCAAAATTGTTCAGAAAGATTCAGTACAATGGCTGCTAAAATCACAGCATGGAATATCATGAACTGAATGATGTGAAAACTTTCAGCATGCAATCAGCCCCTGGACAATTCCAATAAACTCTAACCCTAACCTCTAAAAATATGGAAGTCATAAATATTGGATTACACATGATAGAAAAACATTCAGAGCTTTCTGAGACAATAACCTTTCCAATCCCATTCAAGCAGTATACAAGATTTTTTAATATAAAAAAATAACACCATCTTTGGAATGCAGGGTCTTATAAGTAAGGCCAGCCTAATATTAGAAGATACAGTCTCACCTTTTTAGGTCTGTGTTTATTGGTCTTGGAGTTGCACAGACCTAGACTCCCAACCAATCAGGATGAAGAAAAAACCATTCAAATATAGAACAAGGCCAGCACCAAATTCAAATAGTAACGGCTGCCAATGCCTGACACACACGCCTAAGAAGAACCCAATACACAAGCCTGATGATGGCAGATGAGAAACTGGCAGATGATGGCTGCCTAAACGTTGCTATAACTTTAAAAGCACAACTATTAAGACGTGGGAAAATGCCCAAACAAACCTAAATACCACACATATAAATACCTGTGAAAACATAACACACACACACACACACACATACACACATTCTTTTTACATACTAAATATTCAAAAACAGGTACTTGTATAAAAAGTCATCTATATCTGTCCAAAAGCAACTCAGATCAATAAATTATGACCATTATAAAATGAAAAATGTAAAACCTTTAGAAAAATCTATAATTTTGACAAATAGATAATAGTTATAAATAGTCCTGCACGATAAGGCGGGTTTTTTTCTCCTTACTCTGTTTTTAGCTGAACAATTTCATCTTCTGCTGCCAAAAGAGTAGTAGCTGATTTGGACTTTGTGTCTTCGAGAGACAACTTGGCTTCTGTCAGACTGCAAGAGAATTTAATACCCAAAGATATACCTTTAAATGTAAAGACACTATTTTTCTAGTTTGAAAAAATATGAATTTTTCCCCCAATGAAATAGGGAGCAGTGTCTTGAAAACTGCAATTCCAATAATCCCCTTGGGGAGCTTTGAAAAGGCTGACTTAATAATATTAACAGGCAAAGTACTTTCAAGACAACTAGTACACAGAAGTAACCATCAGCCAAACCCAGATCTTCTACTTTCAGGGGAAACATCATAACAATCACATTTACCTTAAGTGATTGTTAAATACATGCAAGCAATATATATATATGGGGCAAGTGTAACTTAAACCACAATTTGAAAAATCACAAATGTGTAACAGACGCTCAATAATTTACAGAACGTCCTTTATATATTTTCTTTGCAGAAGCTAAAATTTGCAACAAATGATATTTGCATATATTTTGAAGGCTGTAATTGGATCCCCACCAGACTCAAAAGGCAACTTAGGTATCTGTCCATCCATTAGTCAATCTAGGCTAGTGTTGTTTGTTTACTGTCTTGAAAGTAGCTCTTTCAAATATCATGTCAATGTTGTCCATTGTTTGCTGTCAGAAGCTTTTAAGTGGAAATTCTAGGATTATTCCGCTCAAGTATGGATTCTGCCTAAAATGTCAATCCTGATTTCTAGTTTGACAATCTACATCTGACAACATTGCCAATTCATTCCGTTGCTTTGATACGACAACAAAGAGCTTCCTTCAATATCATTTTTGAATCCTTTCCACATGTCAATTTAGTAGGCCAATTAGAGTTATGTCATTTATGTCCTCTCATACAGAGGCTATATTAAAAACAAACTCTGCATTGAGAGAGGTCATTGGAGTTTTTTTTTTTTTTCTGCAATTATGAAAATGCACTTTAAAAAGTTAGGAATAATATAGTTGGGAGAGATGAAGCCCTCTTGCCAAGGGAAAGATGCCATAAGCAAGAGGGAGGAGTTCGTTTCTCCTGCAGCTTCCTGTTCTCAGGTGTCTTCAAAATAGGTTTTGGAGAGTGCATCTCCAGAGCAGAGGCTGGGAATGAGATGGCTGCAGAAAAGACAAGAGGTAGGAAAGGACCATTGCATAAATAAAAGGTCTCTTTCATGATAACTGGATTTCCTTAATTTCTTTAAATGCATATCAAGAAAAGAGAGTATATCAAACTAATTGCACTATTAACGTTTCTTTGACTGACTGCATTTGTACCTGTCATAATAAAAAACTTATTATATATGTGTCAATAAATCTAAAGTCAAACACAATTCATTGTATTTATCCAAAAGGAAGACAACCTTAAGTTTTAAACAAGGGAAGACTGTACAGCAAAAAAAAAAACACCCAAAACTATATATCTCCATTACTGTATGTTCAAGTAAACAGAGGGAACCTTCTCATTTTAAATGCAATTTATCTGCCATGATGACCATCTGTACTTTTCACACACACACACAAGCACACTCACACTTTAACACTCTAGACAGATGTCTACGACATATGAATATTTCAAATTTATTCATCAATCTGTCCCACTATCCTGCCATACATACATTGAAGGGCACTGAGAAGTAAGACAAACTTAAGATTTTCCTCCATCGTCTTTAGTAAAATATCTGTTCCTCCTTCAACCCTCCCTTGACTCCAATAGTCATAAGAAAATTCATATGTTTTTGACACCAGGAAAATATCATTCTTGCTAAGTGTGATTTTAAAAAAAAAGGAGATCAAAGCTATTTTAAGGAACTAATTTCTTAACTGGAAACAGTCTTCTTATGTTTAATCAGCTCAACAAGAGAAAATGGATGAGATGCATGGAATTTTGACAGACGCAATAAAATTGTGTAGTTTGCAGAAACACAGTGTACATTTAAGATATGTTGCCTTCTAAAATTGTGATTCTCGGGCTTGCTGACACAAGCATAGTGAGGCTGTGGCCCTCCTGATATAATCATAATTACAATTCTCAACATCCTTTACCATTAAGTATGATTCAGCAACCTCAAGAGAATTACAATTTCCAATTACTCACAACTTGAGAATTAATGAGATAAAATAATTGCTCTTCCAATAGAAGAGAATATAAGGAGCTCAGTGTTGAACACTTGAATTCTTGGTACTTGTTTCCTGCTTGACTGCTTGTCTGATGTCCATCCTTGCTTGGTTGCTGAAGAGGAGGTATTCAGAGGTGGTATTCAGCCAGTTCAGACCAGTTCCGCCGTACTGGTAACAAAAATTTTGACTAGTTCGGAGAACCGGCAAATACCACCTCTGGCTGGCCCTGCCCATCTACCCCGCCCTATCCTGTCCTATATGCCCTTGTTTAGCTCAGCTGATTTGCACAGCAGAGCAAAATGCCGCACCTCAGCTGAGCTAAAAAACAGCTCACCTCACCAGCACTGACAGAAGGCGGTTTTTCATTGCTGCGCACGTGTGTTTGGCCCTTGAACTGATTCGCGCAGCAGCTGAAGCGTGCTCATAGAACCGGTGGGGGAAAATTTGGAATCCCACCAGTCTTTTTTTTCCTTCTTAGCTTTTTCGTTGTCTCTTTTGAATGGTTTGCCTTCATGTGTTTACTGATGGCTGTCTAGAATGCTCAGTTTCCCACCTAAAACTATGTATGGTTGAGTCTGTCCTTCCGTTGTAAGATTAAGGGGTATTCATTGTACATTATCTTCTAACTGCTAGCCGGTGTTCATGGAGGTATTCTGCTGCTCTCTGTCCTACATGATGGCTGTTATAGTCCTTACACTTTATCTTGTAGAGTATTCCTGATTTGTCTTCTTCAGCCTACTGGGCCTTTGGGTTTACTTAAGATGTTTTGGCAGGCTTTAGTTAGTGTGCCACGATAATGCAATATAATTATCTGCTGTAGATTCTTGGATTTTGGGGATGTATGGCAGTGTTATTCTTTTTATAGCTTGTGTCATTTGTGCTATAGGGGGTCAGGTTCCAATAAAACTGTATGGGTATCCTTTTTTTTTTTTTTTTGGATGTTGTATAGATGGTGTTTTCTTTTTCTGATGTAGTGCGTTTGTACACAACTCCTTTTGTGGGAGGTTGGGCTGTTACTTTGGTAGCGGGACACTTAGTTACCCTGGCTTGTTTATCAATAAGACTTGATTTTAAAATGATGAAGATAACCAGGAAAGGTAGTATATTGTTGTTGTTTTCTTTTTCCCTTGTAAATTTTATTCCTTTGAAGAAGTTGATTGTATCCAGATCCAAACTTTGGGTTGTATATGTGGGAGTTCTGTAGTTTTTAGATGCTGCATGATTGTCTCTGCTAGGAGTTGTGTGTCCTGCTGTGCAGTTTATTGGTCATTTGTTCATCCTATTAAGTACATGTAAACACAAGCTTCAAATTTCTAAAGTGCCTAAACCACTTTGCTGAGCTATTTTCCATCCAGCTGTGCAGTTTACTGGAAGTTTGTATCTGAAACGAGTATCAGAATTGCTCGTCCTATTAAGGATATTGAAAGAAGTACCAGTTTATGTCAGTTTTGACTGTATGTCTTTGTTATGTTTTCCATCCAACTTTTTTTGATATTTGTTATGAACATCACTTCATAGTGCAAGACAATAAGAAAATCTAATTAGTTGTCATTTATTTTATCCAAATATTTTAAAACTGTTAAGTCAAAACTGTAAAGCCAACTTTGTCTAGTGGATAAGGCACTAGGATAGAAAATGGGAGACCATGAGTTCGCGTCCTGCCTTAGCCATGAAAGCTGGTTGTGTGACATTGGGCCAGTCATTCTCTCTCAGCCCAACTTATTTCACAGGGTTGTTGTAGGAAAAATAGGAAGAATAATATTGTGTGTTTTCAGTTCATTATTTGTAAAAATAATAACAAGGGATATAAATAAATAATAACTATGGTATTTAATCCAAACTGTGGGAAATCAGTGCCTTTTATTCCAGAACATTCCTGACTGGCAAGAAGAAACATATCCAAGCAGACTAACCAACATATTGTGGTCCCACAAACATCCTATAGTATATATCAATATATTAACATAATTCAATGATGGAGAAAACCAGAAATGGTGGACATTTTAGAATATAAGAAAATCTATTTTTTTTTATCTTTCCATGTGGCTTCAAGGTCTTTATATCGATCAGTTATAATGATCCAAATAGTTCCAAATGTTCATATATTTAACAGGATTTTCCTCAGACTATTTTTCCTCAGACTATATTAATTATTTTTCCCAACATGTCCCAAATCAGCTCCTACTAAAACATGAAAACTTGAATTCAATTTTGTAAGGTTTCTGAAATATGTTATTACTCAATGTACTTTATTTTGGAGTACAGCATGTGAGTATTTTTACAGTTGCAAAGGGAAATATTTCTATTTGATTTTCCTAGTATAAAACAATACTGTTTTAAGATTTATGAATCTTTCATGTTATAGGCTGACATTCCATTAATCACACAAAACTAATTCTCAATTATATACAGGGCAAAACCAGGTAGATTTTATTCATTTAGCCATTAAATGTCTGCTGCATTTTGTGTTAAAATATCTTGGAAAAGAAATAAATAGCTCAATAAAGGTTACAAACTACAACTTTCTTTAAAGAGCATTTCTTGTTACTTATTTTTTTAAAAACATAGGTGCTTGTAAATATTTATGGTTTTATCTCTAGAAGAATTTTAGCCCTTATAAATTTATTTATGCTTAGGTCAATTTTGCTCATAATATTTTTATAATTCAAGCTGTTTCTGAATATGCTCTTCATAAAGAAACACAAATCTGTTAATAATTATAGTTGATGTCCAGCTCATAATTTATGAGGTTTGCAAGGAAGCAAAACATAAGAGATATTTTTTTTTCTATTTGGGGGGAAATGAGGAAACAGCCATATTTTAAAAAAATATTCGAGAACCACTTTATAGATGCTTATTTTTTTCTATATCTCTAGGTATATAACCTTGTTGTATAAACTTGCTGAGAGCCAGTTTGGTGTAGTAGTTTAAAGCACTGTGCTAGAAACTGGACAATCTTGAGTTGTAACTCTAGCTTACACATGAAACCAGATGGATGACTTTGGGCCAATCAGTCTCTCTCAGCCCTAGAAGGAAGGCAATGGCAAACCACTTCCAAAGATGTTGCCAAGAGAATTGTAGGGATTTGTAGGGAATGACTAAAAGACACATCACACCCCCACTAAAAACCTTAACTTCCACGGTCAATGAATACAGTTATGCCAATTGTATGGTAAATATCTTGCATTGTACAATACAATACAATTTACACTTGCCAGTTTATGTCAAGCAGCCTTTTTTCATTTGATGTTCTCCAGATTGACAGAGATGAGCAAAAAAGGAGGAGGAGGAGGAGGAGGAGGAGGAGGAGATGAAGACGAAGAAGACGGAGAAGATGATGGAGGAGGAGGAGGAGGAGGAGGAGGAGGAGGAGGAG